TGTGAATATTTTTCCAACTCGCATTTTGTTCCAAATTTTTGACAAGTCCCATGAGCATTTATTTAAAATTTTCCTTTCAAAAAACTCTAGTTTTTTTAATTCATGGAGATATTTTTCTAAAAATTATAATTTAAAAAGTGCACAATTTGAACCAAACTCCAGTGTTTTCCCACAGGATAACAACATATTGTTTTTTGCGTCAGAGCATGAGCCAACGAAGGAAAGCTGGACCTAGTAAAAAAACCTACAACGAGGCCCATAACTAGAGAACCCACGAGACATTGCCCAGCCAAAAATAAACAGCCCAAATTGAATGAACGAGTGGGTTGCTGAGAGACTAAAAAAACCCTGTTTAAATTAGAAAAGATGTCAGGTGACATTAGATGATTGAGACCTACCTATGTCTCAGCCGGCTGAGTTCCAGACGATCCCTTTGAAATAAGTGAAATTATTTTTTTGTATTGAGTGAAATCAATCTTTGAAATGAGTGAAATCTGATTTTAAAATTAGTGAAACAAACGAGTGAAAACAGTCTTTTTTAGAAATGAGTGAAATACTCCTACGTTTTTAAAAATGAGTGTAATATGTTTCACAAAATCTAAACTCATTTATAATATATTAAATAAATCATGTTTAAAAGATCTTGTTGTCAGGAATTCAAATATATAAAAATATTTTAACATATAATTTTATTCAAAAGATATCAATGAATTTATATCTCATAAAAAATATCAAAGTGGTATGTGAAAAGCTAGTATCTTGTTCAAAAGATATCAACGATTGAATTTATATCTCACACAAAATATCTATGGCTCCGACCGCCACCAGAGCCTTCCGGCAGTTTGATTTGCCCACCTTGATCCGAACTGGTTTTTTCGCCTAGCAGTTCACCCGCGAACCGCCCCTCCACAACCACAAGGAGCCAGGGCCCCAGATTGGATGAGCGCGGTCTTGGAGCAGCTGGATTCCCCATCTTACAGCCACGTGCATCACGTCGAGCAGGGCACTAGGCTAAGGCCGATGTCTGCAAGGTTGTGTACTTTCTAGTGAAGTGTCTTGACCACTTGCGACTCTATTGGGTTGTTCCTAGGGCTCCAGGAGTGGCGCTTGGCCGAGGGGATAAGTGTACTTCTACTTGTTGTTCTAAGTCAAAATTTTAAATTTTTGACCAACTTTATAGAAAAGAGTAGTAGCATATATGAAATCAAACCGGTATATTATGAAAGTACATTTCAAAAAAAATCTAATGATATTAATTTAGTGCCATAAATGCTGCTACTTTTCCCTATAAAGTTGATCAAAGTTTTAACACTTTGACTTAAGCCAAAAGCTAGATGTACACTTCCTCACAGACGAGAGAGTACATTCACAAATCTTGTCTAGGTTTGTCTTGAGCTTCACAGAAAAATACGTACTCCAGAAGCCAAAGTGCGGCTCAACGCAGAGAAAGGCTTCGCAGAGAGTGATAAATCCCATAATGTGCAACATATAATTTGGGGAAAGATAGTATTACTGAAGGCAATAAAAATGTAGGAAGCTGCAAAAGAAGGGGTGAATCACGAAGCCCAAACCGCAGATGAGGAACGAGATGATACTAACCCGCTCGTTTAGCTCTGGCTTCTGCAATGCCTCCACTAGGAGGTCTCCATTCTCCACCATATGACCAGAGAACGCAGGGAGGCGACTATTGGAGGAGGAAGGTAGTCCCGGCGGCAAGGTGGCTTAGTTGGCCGCGAGTGGCCGTGGACGACATCCATTTGCCTTTGGTCTTAGAGGCCACCTTCTTCTTCGGTCATTGATCAGATTCCCTCCCTTAGTCAGCTTGCGACCAATGACACAACAGTGCCTGCGCGGGCAGGGTCGGAGCCATGATTTTGGTATAGGGGGGCAGGGCGAAGAGACACCAAAAATAATACTTAACAAATATGTTGTAGTCCTAAGCCTTATTTTTCGTAACCCACAATTTACTCATGTTGCTTTATGATCACCCTGATCAAGATTTCTCATTTGTTGAATTAGGATTAATGCTATTTTGTTCACTGATTGCTTTAGGACCCTACTGATTGGTAAGAGAAAAACATTTTTATACCTTGCCCACTTGGATCCTATGAAATTTAAAGGCAAGAATTGACACAAGCGTGACGGCGACATAGAAAAAGATAGGAACTTGAGGACATATAATGCAACAAAAGTGGGTAAAATCTACAACATCAGGCTTTGACTATTTTATGTCGATCAGATCTTTGTACATGGTAACTAAAAATCAACCGGATGGACGCACGACAACGACAATAATGGAAAATTTGAAGATCTAATACCTGGCAATGGTGATACTTTTATGTCGTTACCTTGTTGAAGGTACGTATTGCTTGGATATGTTCAGACTGATTCTTCATGGTGAAAACCTAGATTTTGACCTTGGATGGTTGGGTCCGATAACGGTGACGCTTGAGCGTCGATCCTTCCTGAAGTCGTTGCCGTTGAAGAACCTCGTCGTCCATGTGATGTCATGCCACGGTTGCTGTGGATATTGTCATTGTTGTAGTTTGTTGATCACAGATCTAATTGCTTTGGATTTATTTCCTTTTTTCTAGTCTACACATAGCTTAGTCTTATATGACTTTGCTATTTACTGGTGTGTTTTTGTGTGGTGCGTTGATATTGGCTGTGTGCATCATAGATATGCAGAGGCCGGGTGTGTGTTCTTTGTGTTTGTATCATCTTGATGCTTATTCTGAGCCAATGAAATCTACCATTTGTTAAAAAAATGTATTGTAGCCTATAGTAAACATCAAATAATAGATCAACCTCTCGTCTCCTCCCCCCCTCCTCCTCCAAGAAAGAAAGTTAGGGTTCGTGCCTCTCGCCGGCGCCGGCGCAGGTCTGCCTCGTCTCCGGTGGCCCTAGGGCCATGGAGGTTGGGTGGATCCTGGCAAGTGCCGGCGGGAGGGCTTCGTTTTTAGTTGTTTTTTTCAATCTTGTTAGGGTTTGTGTCCTACTCAGGAAGGCGAGACAGCGGCGGCTCTCTGAAGATGGAATAAAGGTCTCCCCGCCTAGCCCCCGTTCCGGCGGTGCATCTAGCATCGTTGGTGGGCATGTGGAGGTGTGTCTCCGGCAGATTTATCTTTGGTGGATTTGCTTGGATCTCGTCGTTGTTCGTCTACGTTCGTGTGTCTTCGGTTTGGATCCTTCTGATCTACGTTATTTTTCATCGGCGACGGTTGCTGTTCTGGGGTGCTGGTCCTATGGGGCCTTAGCACAACGACTTCCCGACTGTCTACCACAACAAGTTGTGTCCAGCTCCGGCGATGGAGGGGCGATGACGGCGGCGCGCCTTCGGCTCGCTTCGGTGCTTGTAGTCGTCGCTAGGTTGTCTACGAATCTGGATGTAATTTTTATTTTTGGTATTCGTTATACTGCCATGATTGAAGATGAATAGATTGGAAGTTTTTTCCGCAAAAAAAAAATAATTAAAAAAAATCAACCTTTTGGATTAGCGTCTGACTTACACGGATTAGTTGTTGATGAAGAGTTCGTGCGGAGCAGCGCTGTTCTGAGGCGCATATCCATTTTTCACCTATCCGAAGAAAAGGTACGCAGGCGATCCTGAAGTGCCGTAGGCGTAGTGGTGCCAAGACGATGGCAAACGGGCGCTTGAAGCACTCCAAGTATGCGTCTTAACTAATTTTCTTTTCTTTTCTGTTTAAAACAAAAATAGATGCAAGAGACTTCTCGTGAACTGCACTAACCACTACGCTAACTTGGCACTTGTCCACACCTTCTTCTTTTTTACATTTATATGTATAGGGAATGCCCGCCAAGGTTTTCTATGTTTTCTCTTTCTCTTTTTATTTTTTCCCTTTTTTTTGTCTTCTTAAATGCGTGAACTTTTTTCAAATCCGATGAACTTTTTTTATTGGATGAACTTTTTTTTTCAATTTGATTGGACTATTTTCAAATCCGATGAACATTTTTTAAGATCAATGAGTTTTTTTTCAGTTTTTGTGAACTTTTAAAAGAATTTAATTTTTTCAAATTCGATGAACTTATTTCAAAATTAATTAACTTTTTTTCCAAACTCAGTGAACTTTCTTTTATAGTCAATGAACTTTTACTTTCAAAACGATGAACTTTTTTTAAAGTTTTGTACATTTTCAAAATCAATGAACTTTGTTAAAATTCGTGAACTTTTCTTCAAAATTTGATTAGCTTTTTCATTTTTTTTCGTGATTTCTTTTTCAAAATCAAGGAACTTTTTCAAGTTTGTGAACTTTTCTTCAAAAATGTTGAACATTTTCAAAATTGAGGAACCTTTTCAAGTTCACGTTTTTTTCAAATAATTCAGAAATCTAAGTGTTACAGCAGATGATATCGTGCAATAAATATCGCTGCTACAGTGGTTCTTATATCATCGGCGCTATTCTCAGTGACAGGAGTCGAGTAGCTGTAGTGGTTAATCGAACTCGTACGAGAATGTAAGGGTGCGAGTTTGAATCCTGAAGAGAGCGGTTTTTTTGTGCTTAGATTTTGCTGCGTGTTTTATCGGGCCGACCCAAATGATGCCGCGCGAGCTCGGGCACCTGAAGCGCGGATTAGGAGACCTCCAGCTTCGAGCGAACTTGTTTTCTAGTGGGCTGGATCAGCAAGAACTCGGGCTGCTCCCTAGTTAATTACTAGCAGGCTTCAGACATTGTAACGTTTGGCAGGGGCCAATTGAGGTCAACTTAATTAAAAGGACTCAAGAAAGAGGAAATAAAGGCACTTTATTCATTCATTCATGGTAAGAAAAGAACCGCCAACAGTAAAATTGGCCTGTTCACTCCTGCTGCTTCATGCGAAAAAAGAGCACAAGCCTGGTAATTCCATGATTCCTCCCTCAGTTGATGTAGCAGAATGAAGAGTTAACAGCAAGCATTGCGGAATGAAGAGTCGGTTGGTTGTATCTCGCATCTGCTGATGCACAAAAAGATTGCCACAGTGGTGGAGTGGAACCTGCCAGTCTATAAGATTTGACAAGTTAATATTAGGCAGAAATAGAAAAACAATAAAAATAGGGAGGCGACAAGTGTTACCTTGGGTGTAGTTATTCTTCGACGGATAAATGTGGGTTGGTTCTTTGATTTTCTCAATTTGCTCGTCTATCTCAGCGCTGCGCCAATTCATCTCTAGTTTTCGCAGAGAAACCGGGAGGCCCTCCTTGGGCATCGATTGGATTTTTAGACACCCAACCACATGTAACTCCTTGAGAGAAGGAAGGCGATGTAACCCTTGAGGAAGGGACTGCAGACCATAGCACCAGAGAAAATGTAGTTTCTCGAGGGAGGTGAGGAGCTGCAGCGCTTTCTCTTGCTCCTCCGTCAAGCTTTTCATCCTCCCATCATACTGGAATTCAAGTGTGTGGAGGGTCGGGGCGAGGAGGCTGCAAATAGGAGCAACAAGCAATCCACAGATGTTATCCACAATGAGCTTCTCCAATCTAGAGATGTAACCTGCAGGCAATAATTTGGTCCTTGCCACCTTTGAGAGCAGATCTGCTGCTAAGGTGTTGTTGCTGGTAACTTGCAGTTCTTTAAGGTTGACTATGATGAGAGGATTGAATCCTTCCACTGTTAAATTACTGCATCTTATTAGGCTTAGACTGGTGAGAGACGTGAGGTTTGAGAGCAGAGCCATTGACTTCATGCTTTGCTCGCCCCAAACATCGAGTTTCCTCAGGGAAGCAGGGAAAGGGTAAATGGTCTTTGATTCTCCCATGGCCATGGGCCACCGACAGAACAATTCGCCACATCCCCATATTGTTAATGATTGGAGCAATGAGTTGTCCTCCTGAATTTCTCCTCCATTCTCCACAGGCACAAGAACCAGGCCCTTGCAGTCTCTAAAGCTAAGTTTCTGGAGTGAGCTGGATGATGGGAACTGCATTGATATGCATGATACATTTTCAATAACCATATCTTCTAGTTTATCCATATTGTGGTAGGCCAAAGCATCGCCATACCCTCTAACAACCAATAGCTTTCCATCATAAGACAACAATGTTTCTGAATCACCTCTTTTAACATCTAAATCTGTCAGTGTGGAGGTGTGAGGCATGGAGGGCAGAGACATCTTTGGGCACCCAGAAACTTGAAGTCCGCGCAAATTGGTGCAAGATACCTCTGAGAAGGGCATCACACAGACATTGGGACAATCGATGCATATGATTTCTTCAATGCTTGTTAAGGAATGGCAATTAGGTTCCACAGCCCATTCAACAAGTTCTGGCATCTCATAAAACTCGATTATGTTCAAGCGCATAGAACATTTTCCTGGAGTGCCACCACATCGAAGCCCAAATTGATGCATTCCAGAAATTTTCTTCAATTTGAGTCCCTTGAGATTTGGTAGCTTCGCAAAAGGTGGGAGGGTGCTCCAAGATACGCCTTCTAGAGTGAGAGTCTCCAAACTTGCTAACCAGATGTCAAGACACAACCAACTAGGACCAACGGTACCACCATGATTTGCAATTATAAGTGCTCTAAGATTCGAGTGTGGTTGAAGAGCATCAAGGATATCAGCATCTGTAGTTGCTCCATCTCTGCCCCAGAGTAATTCCAGCTCCTTCATATTCTTTTTCAACTTCAGTTTGGCTGCAGTAGCTTCCTCCTTGTTCGACACGTGTTCAATACCACGTATAATCAGTCCTCCTTGAAGCTCTGTCAATGCCCCAAGTTCTGACAGCTCAAATCCCATGCTCCCATTCCTGACATGGAATTCTTTTAGCTCTTGCAGATGCTTCATCTTTCCAACATTGCGAATATTGGAGTGGAGTTTACTTGTAGCATGAAAATCATGTAAATTCTCAAGGTGGCTAAAGTCTTCAGGCAAATCAGAATGACCATTCCAACCATCTAGGTCCAAGAATTTCAAGTGATAAAATCTTGACAGTGTACTAGGTAATCTCATTTCGCTGTCATTGTGAGATGAATTAATTTTGAGGTACTGGAGGTGGATAAGTTTTGAAAATCTGTGTGGAAAAGATTCTGGATTGTTCACTGCTATAAATAGGACATGCAGACTATTTATTTCCTTGAAGCTTCTTTCAAAATCTTGGCGATCCTTTCTTCATATCCTCTAAAAATCATTAAAGTCCACAGATTAGCAATGTCTATCCTCTCCTTAGTTTACACATTTCTTCCTCAAAATTTGCATCATAGTTGTCCCCTATGTTGATAGATAAGTATCGTACAGATTGTGGGATGGCATCAGCTCTGAAATCTAAGCCACTTATACTGAGGCATTCTTGTGCAGAAACACTCTTAGATAGCTCATGCATTACATAGGAGGATCGATCAGCCCAGTCGAATACCTTCATGACAAAACCATTGTCCACTAGTTCTTCCAAGTAATCCCTGCCGGCTTGGTGATTAGTCTCTGATGCCCATTGCATCCCAGAAATGATTGATTTCTGAAGAAGTAAACCTATGATCTTCAGGGAAAAGGCCACAATAGGAAAAGTATTTCTTCAGATGAAAAGGGAGGCAATCGTAGCTAATTTTTAAAGATGGCATGATATCATCACTTCTTTGCTGCTTTAACCACTGATGCTTTTCAAGAACTCCATTCCAATGTTCCTGAGAAAGGTGCTTATGCATTAGTCTACCAACTGTTTTGGCTGCCAACGGGGAACCCTTCAGCTTGCTTGCAATTTTCCGTGCAATACCAGCAAAGTCATCTTCGTAATGGTCAGGTTTGTCTTCTTCACCATTAAATATACATGCTTCAAAGAATGTGAAGAAGTCATTAGGCTCCAAACCTGCCAGTTCTAGTGAATCAACTGTTCCCACCATTTTTGCTAGATTTGGGAATCGGGTTGTGACAAGTAGCATGCTTCCTTTGGTTTCCCCCTTTGTGAACAGAGCTAACAGGGTTTTCCACTGATCCATACTGTCACATTTCCATATGTCATCCAAGACAATTAGAAACCTCTTGGACCTGAGACGGCGCGCAATGGACCTATGAAGATGATCTAAATTGGTTGTTTCATTTGCAACACTGCTGCTTCCTCCTTCTTCTTTTTTTGCAGGTATGCAGGCAAGGATCTCCCTGGTGAGCTTAAGCACATCGAAATCAGTGGATACACATACCCAGACCCTGACCTGGAAGTGCTCTTCAGTCCTGCTATCATTATACAGATGTTGGGCGAAAGTTGTCTTGCCAATATCCCCTGGACCAACTATAGGAAGAACAGAAACAGTCTTAGTCTATGCAACAATGGTGATACGATTGACAGTTTCCTCAAAAATGTCTGCCCTGCCATACAATGTGTCTTGTATAATCATGGAAGCAGTCTGAGGCCGACGTGGGACGACAACTGCCCAGTAACAGGGACTGAGGCTGTTGCTTGGGACACTGTTGATGAGCAAATTGGAGACGGAATCACAGTGGGACTCCATGCCCAGTAACAGGGACTTGATTTTGCTGGACATGGACACTGTCAAAATGCAGCATATCATCACCATGAGCACTAGCAGAGTTGGTTTTGGACCTTTTGGTGACGCGGCCGGCAACAGCCGCAGCAGCAGCAACATCATCATCACTACCATCCCTCTTGGCCTTGGGTGTACGCGAGTAAGAAAAGAAGTGGACCAAGCTGCCTAGGGTGTGGCGAAGAGCAGTACCAGCATGGGGAGCTTGACGGCTGAGGCGAACAACGCCCTCCGGATCCTCTTGGGTGGTGGCGTAGCGGGTGCCGTGGAGCTTGTCATGGATGTGGAAGTAGTGGACCTCATCCAGCAAGTCCTCTGCCTGGTCGGCGTCCCTACTCAGCTTCTCCAACAACCCCTGCAGGCCAGGGTTGTGGCTCCCCTGGACCTGGGCGTTGTGCAGCAGGCCTTGCGTGTGCAGTAGCTTGTCCCTGATCTGCTCCGAGTTGTGGCCGAGCTGGAGGCAGTCCACGTACGCAGCCACCAGGCCGTCGGACAGCGTCGTCCACACCTTGCCGAGGAGCGACTTGGCCGAGCCGAGGGCCACCTCCATCTCTCTACAGACAGAACAGAACACTCTGCCGGCCGCCTTGCCTCGCCGGAGTAGTGGTGGAAGCAGCAGCAGCAGCAGAAAGCAGGGTGGTCTGGTGTTGGTGAGCTGCGAGAGGAAAGTGGCGGGCGGACAGTTTGGAGCTCGGTCGCCGAACTTGGACTTGGATGGCCGCTTGGAGTGGAGAGGAATGGACTCACGAGGTGACGGAAAGGAAAGTGCGGCCTTTCATTCTTCCTTCCACAACCGCACTATGGCACATCAATAATTCCATTCGATCATTTGATGTGTCGGCAGCCACTAGAGGAGGTCTTTCTCATCGTATACAGTCACCTGACTAAACGCCACTGTGCCATGGGATGGGATGGGATGGGATGCCCTCCTCAAATGCGCCTCTTTTGGCCCCTCCTCAATAATGCCACTCTCTTTCACCCCACCAAAATGCTCCGACCCTTTAATCTGTTGGATTATGGATGGGCTTAGGCCCACATAAGACACTAATCCCTGGTTAATCTTGAGACCCATGTATGAGATGGCAGGTGGTGGGAAGTTTAGTCCCATCTTGCTAGTTGAGAAGAGTTGAGACCCTTTTATAAGGGCTGCTCTACCACTTGCCATTGGGAGCTTGGAAAGAGGAGTGGTACACGCACGCTCCTCCTCCTCCGCCGCCCGCCTCGCCATGCCTCGACGCGCGCGCGCCGCGGGTTGCGGGTATGAGCCGAAGCTTATTTTTGCTGCTCAGGAATGGTTAATTAATTGTTAATTAATTAACGAGTCACTTACGGAAGCGCCACTGTCTGAGACATTGGACTGTTCGCGGACTCGGTCGTGGGCCTGGCCTAGGCCCATCTACCTGACGGCCTATATAAGAAGGCACTGGCCAGTGGAGTGAACCCTAACTCAGTTCACTCACTCCCTCTCATTCAACCCTAGCCGTCAGCTACTGTTACTCTCTCTGTGCTGCTTCCGGCGATCCCATCCCGACGACCGCGTGCACGGTTGGTCTGGAGAGCAGGTGCCTCCGGAACCCTATCGTTCGATATCCTGCCCGGGAGAACGGCAATAAGGTTTTTGGGGAGCGTCTCGACGCGACTGCTCTCGATCCGTCCCCAACTTCGTCCGCCTCTGCTTCCACTACTTCCCCTGCATCAATACCATGGCCGACGACGCCGCCTCCAAGAAGAAGGCCACGGACGACGCCGAGGCTGCTACTGCCGCCACCGCGTTGGCCTGGCCAACCGGAGGGTATGATCTGTTCATCCCTCGTTTACTCGTACTTATGCTAGCCATATATGTGCTGCTCATAGATGGTTCGATTCTATGTTCTGTACGTGCTAGTATGCTTAGGTATTGCTATGAGATGCATACCTTTTATGCCATGCTTACTGTTTACTCGTGGATAAGTCTAATCGGAAAAGTGCTAATATTTCCAACAACCCAAAAACCTTATTTTGAGCACTTTTCGATTCAAGGCTTTGCTGCTACTCTGAAACCGGAAAAGTTTACCGGGACGCATTTTAAGCGTTGGCAGACTAGGACCACCTTGTGGCTCACAGCGATGAACGTGTTCTGGGTTGGTGGTGTGTCCCTCACAGAAACAATTGCTCCTGAACAGGAGAAGGCGTTTAGGGAGGCAACCACAATCTTTCTGGGAGCAGTTATGAGTGTGATTGGAGACAAGTTGGTTGACGCCTATATTCATATGGGTGTTGCCAAAAACTTGTGGGATGCGCTCGAAGTCAAATTCGGCGCAACTGATGCTGGCAGTGAGCTGTATGCCATGGAGCAGTTCCATGATTACAGGATGGTTGATAATCGTTCTGTATTGGACCAGGCTCATGAGATACAATGCATTGCTAAGGAGCTGGAGCTCCTGAAGTGTGAGTTACCGGACAAGTTTGTCGCGGGTTGCATTATTGCAAAACTCCCTCCTAGTTGGAGGAACTTTGCTACTTCTCTCAAGCACTTGAGACGTGAATTCTCTGTTGAGGATGTCATTGGTCATCTCAGTGTTGAGCAGAACTCGAGAGCAAATGACTCACACGTGAAAGGGGCAGAGGGTTCTTCTAGCACCAATGTGGTGCATAAGAACTTCCACAAGTTCAAGGGAAAGAACCCTGTCCAGAAGAATACTACCTTTAAGAAGAAGGATAAGAAGAAAGACAAAAAGAGAGATGGTTGCTTTACTTGTGGTTCAGATGAACATTGGGCGAACAAGTGCCCAAACAAGTATAAGAAGCCAACACAGGACTCCAAGTCTGTGAATGTCACTCTGAGCAACAATGATGCGGCATCTGGGTATGGTAATCTGTTTACCATACTTTCAGTCTGTCAGTCCATCGATTGGTGGATTGACACTGGGGCCAATATTCATGTGTGTGCTGATGTGTCTTTGTTTTCTTCCTACCAGGTCGCACGAGATTGTTCCATCCTGATGGGGAATGGCTCGCATGCTTCTGTTCATGGTGTTGGCATGGTAGATCTGAAGTTTACTTCGGGAAAGATCGTGCAACTGAAGAACATGCAGCATGTCCCCACCATAAAGAAGAATCTCGTTAGTGGCTCCCTTCTATGTAAAGAAGGGTTTAAGTTAGTATTTGAGCCTAACAAAGTAGTCATATCTCGGTATGGACTATTTGTTGGAAAAGGATATGATTGTGGTGGTTTGTTCCGCCTTTCCCTAGAGGATTTCTGTAATAAAGTCGTGAACCAAATTCATTCTAATGTGAACGTATCCGAGGTTTGGCATTCACGTCTTTGTCACATAAATTTCGGTTGTATGACGCGGCTAGCTAAGATGGATTTAATCCCGAGTTTCACTTTAGCCAAAGGCTCTAAGTGCCATGCGTGTGTGCAAGCTAAGCAACATCGTAAGCCTCACAAGCCTGCGAAGGAGAGACACCTGGCAACTCTAGAGCTCATACATTCAG